TTATAGAAAAAAGGCAGGATATGGTCTCTTCTTTCCAATTTCAGAACATGAGTTTATTCTCTAGCAACTTCCAGAGATTACCAATGGATTTAAATCGATAGATTGAATAGATAGGTAGATAGATACTACTAGATTTTATATATTTAATAATTACAGTAACTATTCTTCTTGATTCCTAAATTGCTCCATCAAATAATCTCTTGTGCCATTTTGGCATGATTTCAATCTTTGATAGCTTTCTTGTTTTCAGGCGCAACAAGACATTTACATCTCATTCTGTACTTTTCCTGCTCCAAACATGGAGTTAGCAACAAAAGCCTGCGTCTTTTAGTGGGAAATTGTATTTAGACACTGTTATCTGTGCATTGGGTTGCTTCTAGCACTTCAGTGGTCTAAATGTAAAAATAAATCATTTTTAAAAAACCATTAAATAATGAGTTCATACTGATATTAGCAACTCTAAGATTGCAGAATTTTATATAACTTTTGCATTTTATGTTTTATCTTTCATGGCAAAAATATTAGTTTCTGGTGATAATAATATAGTTATTAACTTTTTCTTGCTATGTATAATAGTTTCATAATACAATAACACTATTGTTTTAAAATAATGTTTTTCAATGTATTTTAAGATTTATTTTTTTTTTTCTTGATAGGATATATCCTATTTTACCCAATTAGTCAAACTACTGTTTTAACATAAAATATGCTTACATTTATGAATTAATAGTAATGCTAAAAATATTCACATTGGTCACTTTTGGAGGAAACCAAGGAAACGAGTATTTTGAAACTGATGAATTAAAGGGAAAACATTAAACATTTATCTTGTTCCTTCCATAAAATCTTGTAATTTAGGGGAATCAAATTATTGATAAGGGATGTTTCAGATAAATAAAATAGTATCCCCACTAATAAATCAGGAAGAAATGGTAGAAGCAGATTAACCACTTCCCAGCTTGTTTGTCTTTGGGCAAAATATTGATATTTCACGAGATCATTTACGGTATCTGTAAATAGGAATGATTGTTACCAGGCTTTGCCCTTAAGGTCTCTCAGGAACTGAGCCAAAGTTTAAGGAACAAGTATATTAGAAACAGTAGGCTAACTTAGGTAATTAATGACCCCCAAATCTCAATGGCTTAAACAAAATAATATATATAGATAGATATTTTTTTTATAGATGTCTACATAACACTGCAGTATGACCCTGCTTCATGAAGTCGGGTAGTGACACAGCCCACTTCTATCCTATAGCTACATTTCATTTAGGCCCTTGGAATCCTCTATTTAGATTTCGGTTGTCTCAGTGACTTGCTTTGATCAGTGGAGCATCATCAAATGTTATGCAATCAGAGGCCTGTCAAGCACTAACCTGCTTGCTGCTCTGTGAGCCTTCACCATGTAAAGTCACCTGCTAGAGTATGAGAGACCACATGGGGAAAAACCAAAGCACCCTGACTTGCCATCAGCAAGTCCCGTGCTGACTCAGCAGCTGCCTACAGATGCCTGAACTGCCCAGGCTAGGCCCAGCCTAAATTACTGATCTGCAGTATCATGAAACCATGGTTGTTTTAGGTCAAGTTTAAAGTGTATGTGTTTGTTTTTATGCAGTAACAGATAACTGGTGCACTGAGAATATAGATGACAGATTAGCTAAATATCGGTAATTGTTGAAGATGGTTGGGTGACATCAGGCTCACTTTATTAATCTCTGTGTTCTTTGTACATATGTGAAAGTTTCTGTAATAAAAAGCTAAGAAGAAAATAAGAGGGTACTTCAAAAAGTTCATGGAAAGTTTCTTATTATCTTTCAATTCTATTTTTCTACAAACATTTTGAAGTATCCATGTACTGAATTACAATATCACTTAATAGAATTTCTAGTTAAATTTGTTTTCATTTCCTTTCACTGCTTACGAGTAGCTTTTTTTGTTCTATTGTACTTAATTTTGTTTTTTAAAATTAACACGGTTTCCAAGTTAAAAATATAAAACATCCTGAAAGGTCTAACTTTCGTCCCCGTCTCATCCCCCCACACCTTTCTCTCTCTCTCTCCCCATAGGTATCCATTTATATTAATTTTTACTTGAATATTTTTGGAGACATTTTAGACAATTGTTAGTAAATGTATTTATCTATTTTTTGGTGGCTGGCTAGTAAGAAGATCTGAACCCTTGACCTTGGTATTACAAAGCTGTACTCTAATCAACTGAGCTAACCTGCCAGCTCAATTGTTAGTCAATATAAAGTTAAATTAGTGATGATATATATATATATATATATAATGATATGTATGCACACACACTAGGCGAATGAGAGAATAAGGTAATTATTAATTGCAAGAAACACTAGTTTTTTTTTCAGGAAAGGAAAAGTAATTACATTATATTATGTGGCTAATTGATGAATAGCATTTGTATTGTCATATCACTGTAAACAGTAACCACTGATCTAACTAAACTTGTAATACAACTATATTGGAAGCATGGAGAAATGGAAAGTTGCTTATATTTTGGGGAGGGCGGGTGAAAAAGGGCCAAGTCCTCATCTTCCATACTGGTAAGTGAATAGATAACTTGTAAAAATGAAAAAAATCCAGAAGTAGCAATAAGGACACTATTTAGAGATACAAAAGAATGAACTAAGAATTAAAAGTCAGCATCTCTGTGAGGAAGGGAGGGGAAGCTATTGGTTTTTCATAACAAACCTTGTGATTCTCAATGAAAATTTTTTAAAAATCAAGTTAAAAAATGTATGAAAAGGATAGGAAACATGGCATGAAATGATGGCATAAAAGTAATAATAACAGTTCATATTTATCAGGTGCTTTCCATGTGCCATATGTGTATTATGTCTTTGAGTCTTTAGTGTACCTGTACAGTGTAAGGTAGGCTCTTCTTAGACCTATAGCCAGATGAGAATATTAATGCATTGAGAGTTCATTAGCTATTCCATTGCAGTAAATCATTTCAAAACTTAGCATCTGGAAACAGCACATTATCATCTCGTAGTTTCTCTGGGACTGCAGGCAGCTCAGCTGGGTGGTTCTGGCTCAGTCATGCTCTTACGATCAAGAGGTCAGTTGGGGCTGCTGTCATTTCAAGATCTGACTGGGGATCTGCTTCAGCATTCACTTATGTGGCATGCCCCAGAAGCTTCCAAGCTCACCATATAGACCTCTTTACAGGGATGTCTTATGACATAGCAATTGGTTTCTACCACTGTGAGTGATCCAGGAGCAACCAAGATGGAAGACACTGTTTTTTTTTTTTATAATCTGATCTTGGAAATGACATCCGTCACTTCTGTCAAATTCTATTTGTTAGAGCAAGTCAGTAAGTCCAGACCTTTTGGGGGAGGGCATGAATTTATGAAGAGTGCATGAATACCAGGAGGATCCATCATGGGAGTCACCTTAGAGGTTGCCAACCACAGAAGTAACTTGTCCAAGCTCCCACAGGTAGTTAAGTGGTAGCTTGGCCATACAAAATCACCCAGTTTGATTCCAGGGTTCATGTTCCTAACCACTATGCAACCACCCACATGCTGTCTGGGTGGTGTCTACCCTTCATGGGACAACAGCAACTCCTTACACATGGTTGTCATTTTGGAAGTGTGGGTGCAGTTAGTGAGGCACCACGCACAAAAGAGCTCACTGTCACATCTGTGACACACCCAAATGCGTTATCAGGTCTGGGCAAACATAAATAAGCCTTATGTTATGCTTGATATGTAGGGCACAAACTGTGACACTCCTCCTTACCTCCTGCTTCAGAAAGCATTCAGGAATGCAAGAGAGAATGCCATGAATATCAGGATAATCTTGAATTCACTCTGATTTATAAAAAGTCCACCCTCTCAGGCTTTAGAACTTTACTGGTAATGAATTATTTGAGGTGCCCCTCACATTTGATTATGACAAACTGCAGCTTCATATTCCTGGGATGGGGCATTAGTCACAAGGGGCAGAAGTTGGCTAAGGTGGTGAGTTTGTGCTAAATCTTCAAAGCTGTTGGTAGCCACTGAAGTGTTTTAGGCATGGGAGGTGACATGATTGGATGCGTACTTGCTGCTCTGAGCTATGGCATTTTGTCTGAAGCATAAGACATTTTATATTCTCATGCATGAGACAGCAGATGCTTCCTTTACACCCAACCAAATTTATTCATGTTTGAATAATTCATTTAATAAAATTTATGTATTTTTCCAACCTGCATATTGGTCACAGCCCCTGTTTTAGGGCACCTGAGCCTGCTTCTATCTGAGCACCCTGAGACCTTTGTGCTGCCAACCAGGCAGTGAGGTTTCTGAGGCACAGACTGATTGCCTCATCTGTGGTTCTGTCCTCTGGAAGCCACTACATCTACTGACACATATTAGAAACTCAGTAAATCCTTGTCAAGTAAAAATAGACTAAGCTTCATTGTGACCCTACTTAGTTACTGCACTGGGTTCTAAGATATAGAAATAAAACAGTGTCCTTTTATTTTATTACTAAAAAGGGAAAACTCTATGAATGTGTTTTTAAAATTCACTAATCAAACATTTGTTGAATCCCTGCTGTGAAGTGTGGCACTCTGCTAGATGCTGGGACATAATGTCAGATAACACATGGCCACTACTTGTACAGGTCTCTAACCCACTAGGGAGAAAGAATAGTTATGTTTATGATCATAGCTTACTATACTGTGGGGGCATAGAGGAAGGACACATAAATCAGCAAAGAGGAGGGCAAAATAAGAGGTAAGGGAAACTTTTGGGGGGGGATGCAACCTCTGAGCTGAGTAGAAGAATGGAAGAGTTAAGATAAATTGAAGATGACACTCTATCAAGAATAGGAATGCTGGTTTATTAAGGGTTGGGAGAAAAGCTGTGGTTATAAAAGAAGAGAAATAAATAAACATGGAAAGTAAATAGTAGTAGGAGTTACTGAGTCCTACAAAGGGATATACAGAGCCAAGCAAAGTTTCCTCTCTGTTGTCTTTTTCTCTTTTCAGCCATTTACGAACAGTCCTGTGAGGTGTACAGGCACCAAGGAAACACGGCTGGTTTCTTCTACATCGATTCAGATGGCAGCGGACCGCTGGGACCCCTCCAGGTGTACTGCAATATCACAGGTAAGAGTGCAGAATTTCCACCTAGCCACTTTACAGTACAAAACACTGGAAGGGGACACCTGTATGCATGTGAATTTAAATGATCAACTTCTGGGATGGGGGTGGAAATGGCATTTTGGTAAATAATAAGAATTAGCAGGTAGGTCATTTTCATGAAACAGAGAGAGGAAAAAAAAACTTGCTAATGGTCTTGATAATATTTCACTGAACCAGGAATTAATTACAGGTTAAGAATCCCTAGAACAAAAATCCAAAATCTGAAATGTTCCAGTGAGTATTTCCTTTGAGCATCATGTTGACAGTCAAAAAGTTTTGGATTGTTGAGTATTTTGGATTTGGATTTTTGGATTAGGAATTGTCATCTGGTTTATAATACAAATATTCCAAAAAAAAAAAAAAACAAAGAAAACATCCAAAATCCACAACACTTGGGCCCAAGCATTGTGTATAAGGGATACTCAATCTATATTAGGTGTTTTCTGTAAGGCTTGCCAAGCACATTTTCTCTCTTGAAAACTCAAAAACAGAAAGAAAAGGAAAACAAACAAATGACAAAACTCAAAATCAGTAGAAAACTCTGACTCAGGAGTAGGAAAGTTCTACTGATGTCTGGCCCGAGGACTATGTGATCTGGATGAATCTTATATTCTCTCTGAGCTTCAGTTGTTCATCAGTGAAATGGGAATAATAAGTTCTACCCCCTAGATTTGTGAGGATTAAATGCAACAGGGTGAATTGGAGCAGCAAGCCAGGCTGGTTATCCCATAGACGCCTTACAAAAAAAGTGAGCTGTGTCCGTATTCCCTGGCAATCTGATAACAGCTTGCAACCTCTTTTAAAATGCAGAAGGACGCAATAAGAGGCTGTTATCACATGGGTTTAGAAATGGCATATGATCACTAATTTACTCTGAAATATAATTGCACAAAGCCAAACCCTGATATAATAGATGTTTAAAAATGCAGCTATGCAAGCACTCCTGCCATTGAGAGCATCATTAATTGGCACATACATGCTTTTGTTTGTTTCAAGCATTGGTCTTCAGAGATGCCAGCTCTGTCATGTAATAAAGCTGGAAAGTAGGAGGCCTCAGGCCCCAGGCTTCTCTGCAATGAGACAACCATACTCATGGAGCCCTTTCTGTGGCCAGACACTGTCCTGGACCCCAAGGATATGCAGAGAAATAATACACAGTGGCTATTGTTCATGGGGCAGTAAAATTGGTAACACTTTCAAGGAACACCATAAGCAGAAATGCAAGCCAACCATTGCAAGAAATAGTGATTTAGGACTCTTACCAATTTGCCCTCATGAATACAAAAGGCCACACTTTTTCTGCAGAAAATGCTAATTACCTGGAATTGGATGCCATTTCATTGCATTTCCATAACATGTCATTTATCCGAAATGGATGTAGCGTAGCTGCTTTTCAACAGTCCTATAACATAATTAGATGTTGTGTTACTGTTTTCTTTTCATGGTGTGGTAACCTGTAGTTCAACAACCTGGGCAAGGACTATGGTTCTCACTGGATGTTGGTTATTTTCAAAACATAATTAACATATGGATTTTTGCTAAAAAAGAGGACTCTACAGCCCTAAAAATTCTAATTCAGTAAGCGCACTTTTACTGAGCTTTCCATGTGATTCGATGCAATTTGTCCCTGGTCCATGCTTTACTAAAAAGTGGAGGAAGTAATTTGGCTACAGAATAAAGCAAAGGAGATAAATGCCTGCTACTGAGTGACCAGGTGTGACTTGTAATAATAGAAGTGGTGGTAATGGGTATCAATTACTGAGCTCCAACCATCTCTGGGAACTGAACTGGAAATTTACAAATATCATCCCTTTTAATCCCCACAACAAAAATCAGAGGCAGATATGTTTCATCTCCATCTTACATAGAAGGAAAGAGAATATGAGCATTTTATGACTTGCCCAAGGTAGGAAATTCTGTGACTAAAAGTCATGATTCAAGAAGCAAGTAGAGCCTTGTGGTACAGCAATAATTCATATCACTAAAACATTAATTGGTTAGTTTGTATTGCATATGTTTCGCTTTAAACAGTGTTTTCAATTTTTTTTTGCTATAAAATAATCTGTTAATTATAGAAGATTTGAGGGGGAAAAAAGCATGAAGGAAATGTTATACTCACCCGCAANACACCTGTATGCATGTGAATTTAAATGATCAACTTCTGGGATGGGGGTGGAAATGGCATTTTGGTAAATAATAAGAATTAGCAGGTAGGTCATTTTCATGAAACAGAGAGAGGAAAAAAAAACTTGCTAATGGTCTTGATAATATTTCACTGAACCAGGAATTACGGTAAATAATAAGAATTAGCAGGTAGGTCATTTTCATGAGACAGAGAGAGGAAAAAAAAACTTGCTAATGGTCTTGATAATATTTCACTGAACCAGGAATTAATTACAGGTTAAGAATCCCTAGAACAAAAATCCAAAATCTGAAATGTTCCAGTGAGTATTTCCTTTGAGCATCATGTTGACAGTCAAAAAGTTTTGGATTGTTGAGTATTTTGGATTTGGATTTTTGGATTAGGAATTGTCATCTGGTTTATAATACAAATATTCCAAAAAAAAAAAAAAACAAAGAAAACATCCAAAATCCACAACACTTGGGCCCAAGCATTGTGTATAAGGGATACTCAATCTATATTAGGTGTTTTCTGTAAGGCTTGCCAAGCACATTTTCTCTCTTGAAAACTCAAAAACAGAAAGAAAAGGAAAACAAACAAATGACAAAACTCAAAATCAGTAGAAAACTCTGACTCAGGAGTAGGAAAGTTCTACTGATGTCTGGCCCGAGGACTATGTGATCTGGATGAATCTTATATTCTCTCTGAGCTTCAGTTGTTCATCAGTGAAATGGGAATAATAAGTTCTACCCCCTAGATTTGTGAGGATTAAATGCAACAGGGTGAATTGGAGCAGCAAGCCAGGCTGGTTATCCCATAGACGCCTTACAAAAAAAGTGAGCTGTGTCCGTATTCCCTGGCAATCTGATAACAGCTTGCAACCTCTTTTAAAATGCAGAAGGACGCAATAAGAGGCTGTTATCACATGGGTTTAGAAATGGCATATGATCACTAATTTACTCTGAAATATAATTGCACAAAGCCAAACCCTGATATAATAGATGTTTAAAAATGCAGCTATGCAAGCACTCCTGCCATTGAGAGCATCATTAATTGGCACATACATGCTTTTGTTTGTTTCAAGCATTGGTCTTCAGAGATGCCAGCTCTGTCATGTAATAAAGCTGGAAAGTAGGAGGCCTCAGGCCCCAGGCTTCTCTGCAATGAGACAACCATACTCATGGAGCCCTTTCTGTGGCCAGACACTGTCCTGGACCCCAAGGATATGCAGAGAAATAATACACAGTGGCTATTGTTCATGGGGCAGTAAAATTGGTAACACTTTCAAGGAACACCATAAGCAGAAATGCAAGCCAACCATTGCAAGAAATAGTGATTTAGGACTCTTACCAATTTGCCCTCATGAATACAAAAGGCCACACTTTTTCTGCAGAAAATGCTAATTACCTGGAATTGGATGCCATTTCATTGCATTTCCATAACATGTCATTTATCCGAAATGGATGTAGCGTAGCTGCTTTTCAACAGTCCTATAACATAATTAGATGTTGTGTTACTGTTTTCTTTTCATGGTGTGGTAACCTGTAGTTCAACAACCTGGGCAAGGACTATGGTTCTCACTGGATGTTGGTTATTTTCAAAACATAATTAACATATGGATTTTTGCTAAAAAAGAGGACTCTACAGCCCTAAAAATTCTAATTCAGTAAGCGCACTTTTACTGAGCTTTCCATGTGATTCGATGCAATTTGTCCCTGGTCCATGCTTTACTAAAAAGTGGAGGAAGTAATTTGGCTACAGAATAAAGCAAAGGAGATAAATGCCTGCTACTGAGTGACCAGGTGTGACTTGTAATAATAGAAGTGGTGGTAATGGGTATCAATTACTGAGCTCCAACCATCTCTGGGAACTGAACTGGAAATTTACAAATATCATCCCTTTTAATCCCCACAACAAAAATCAGAGGCAGATATGTTTCATCTCCATCTTACATAGAAGGAAAGAGAATATGAGCATTTTATGACTTGCCCAAGGTAGGAAATTCTGTGACTAAAAGTCATGATTCAAGAAGCAAGTAGAGCCTTGTGGTACAGCAATAATTCATATCACTAAAACATTAATTGGTTAGTTTGTATTGCATATGTTTCGCTTTAAACAGTGTTTTCAATTTTTTTTTTTTGCTATAAAATAATCTATGTTAATTATAGAAGATTTGAGGGGGAAAAAAGCATGAAGGAAATGTTATACTCACCCGCAAGCTATAAAATAATCTGTTAATTATAGAAGATTTGAGGGGGAAAAAAGCATGAAGGAAATGTTATACTCACCCGCAATCTACAATGCAGAGATAGCCATTGTTATTATATTGTTAGAATGTCCTTGAGACTTTTTCCTATAAATGTACATGAGTGCTTTTTCTATGAATGTATGTTTTATATTTATATGTGTGTATGTATGTACTTAAATCATAAATTTTAATTTTAATGTTCAACTGTCAACTTTTCCCTATATTATTAAAATGTGTTTTGAAATTAAAATATATACATTAAATATAGCTTAAAGTTTGTAAGCTCTCTGAAATAATGTAAGTAAAAGACGTGAAGGACGTGATTGATTCATATATCTTATTTACATGGAACTCTCTGCCTCTCCTCAGAACACAGTTCTCCCAGGATTTATGTTTGATAGTTCTTTTCAAGAATAGCTAAATGTGACTGTGTGCTTGCATTTAAAGGTTGCTGTTTTGCTGATGTAATTCTGAAAGAATCAGAGCCTCTGAGTTGTGTCATGAGGTGACAGGCAAAGAATAGCTAAATGTGACTGTGTGCTTGCATTTAAAGGTTGTTGTTTTGCTGATGTAATTCTGAAAGAATCAGAGCCT